CTCTAAGGTAAGATTGTTGTTAATTTGAAGTAAAAAAAACAAACGTAACATTCAATCAAACTTGAAATTCAAAAAAGGAGGTCACATTTCCCCACACATTCTTTCAAGTAGGATCGCCTAATAATAAATCATTCACTTAGGTAGGTCACCTCATAATAGACCATTCTTTTAGGCGGGATCGCCTAATAATAGATCATTCACTTAGGTAGGGTCACTTTACAATAGACCATTCTTACAGGCAAGATTGCCTAATGATAGATCATTCACTTAGGTAAGGTCGCCTAATAATAGATCATTCATTCGGGTAGGGTTGCCTCTCAATCGACCATTCACTCGTGCAAGATCACTTAATAATATATCATTCACTTAGGTAGGATCACCTCACAATAGACCATTCCGTCGGTAGGATCGCCTAATAATAGATCATTTACTTAGGTAGGGTCACCTAGTAATAGACCATTCTTTTAGGCGGGATCGCGTAATAATAGATCATTCACTTAGGTAGGGTCACCTCACAATAGACCATTCTTTCGGGTAGGATCGCCTAATAATAGATCATTCACTCGGGCAAGGTCGCCTAATAATAGACCATTCATTCGAGTAGGGTCGCCTCTCAATTGATCATTCTTTCGGGCAAGATCGCCTAATAATAGATAACTCACTTAAGTAAGGTCACCTCACAATAGATCATTCTTTCGAGCAGGATCGCCTAATAATAGATCATTCACTTAGGTAGGGTCCCCTCACAATAAACCATTGCATATTCAATTTCGAGGGTAGGTCGCCCTTTACAATAAGGCCATGCATAACACGTTTAATTTTTCGAGGTAGTCGCCCTTTACAATAAGGCCACACATTGCATGTTTAATTTCTAGGGTAGGTCGCCCTTTACAATAAGGCCATGCATGACACATTTAATTTTTTAGGACGAGCTACCCTTTACAATAAGGCCACACATCACACGTTTAAATTTCTAGGGTAGGTCGCCCTTTACAACAAGGCCATGTATTGTATCTTTTTTATTTTTCATGTACTTTGTACTTAATCTTTCATGAACTCGCATATTTATTTTTCCAGTAAAAAAAGAAAGAATATATTTACAAGCTCACTAGACAAATCTATTACGAAGTTCACACCTCGACTAAGATTTGCATCGTAAGCATTGTAAAGAGGGGACAACTATTATAACTCAATTTTTTCCTTTAAAGGAAAAAAAGGAATAATAAAACAAAAAAAACAAAAAAGGAAAAAATATAAAATCTCCATAAAATCATTCAAAAATCTATTAAAATCTTCCATAAATCTTTTTTAATTAGAATCTCCTTATTTTTAGCTAGAAAAATCTCTAAATTAAGATTTGATAATTAAAATTTGAATTTGAATTGATTTTCGGAGAGATTTTAGGAGGTTTCGACCTATAAAAAGCTTTCGGATTTCAATTTGCAAAGGGGGAGAAAGAAAAAACACAACGAAAAAAATAAAAAACAAAAAAAAATACCGAAAACCTAATTGGAGTTAGCCAAACAAGCTCTAACCCAATAACCAAACCCGATTACCCGTTTACCCAATCGAAATTTTTTAGCCTCAATTGATCATTTTTCGATCGGATTTTGACCCCGATCAACACACCCACGTGTAGCCCATCATTGGATCGGTCCATCAACATCGGTAGAGAGAGAAACAATAACGGAGGAGAGAGAAATCAAAGATCAAACCACCACGACCCGACCCGAATAAAGACTCGATCGTTTCTCTCAACTCCGATCACCAACACAAGATCTACCACCACGGACCCGATCTCCCATCTCCCCCGAGTATTTTCGGTTAAAAATCCCGACCTAACGACATCGAAAAATGAGTTAATTGGACTCGATTCGTTTTCGACCCGTTTTGATAAACCCGACAAAATTGGCCGATCTAAAAGGCGTTGAAGGTTCTAACCACCACGGACCTCTTTTCTCGACCTCCCGAGCCGATCGATGGGCTTAGAATTACGAGAGGAGGTCGGATGCATCGTCGATGAAGAAGGGAGATCCGATCGGACCTTTGGAGGCTCCAATCTCCCTCCTCCGGCGTCATCTCCAAATGAGACCACCATCGCTAGACTCGTCGTGATCGGATCTACAATGCGGGCTGGTCCACGTGCTCGAACGATCACCGAAAGGCGATCGATCACTTGGTAGTGACTCTTGGCATTCCGGATGCATTTTGGTAATTTTACAATATAAGTGAATTTTGGATTGTTTGATTTATTTTATGTGTTTTGTAGCTTTGTTTTTTTATTATTTTACATATGTCCGTTATAAAATTTGAACATACATATTTGTGAAATTTATTTTAACATGAGATTTTTTTCTTTTTTTATGATTAAAATATTGTATCAACGAGTCTTCTATTTATTAGGGACGGACGATGATTTCGATATACCTAATTTTTTAAAATTTGTTTCGAGTTGATTTTAGTATATTAAAATTTTAAAGTTTTCTTTAAAAAAATAAAAAAATATCATTTTTTCGACAAAATCTCCTATCTAATAGGGACCGACGTCACCAAAAATCTAAAATTCTCGACGAAGTCTCCTATCTGATTGGGACCGACATCACACAAAAAAAATCATTGTTTAAATCAAGATATCCTCCGACACACCGGTTGTGTTAAGGCTTAAAGTGAATTCGATATTTGAATCGATGTGTCGTCCGACGAAGGGGACCGATGATCGTTTCAATATGATGCCACACTCAAAACTAAAAAATTCAATTTGTCTAAAAAAAATGAGAGATTAAGAATCAAAAAATAATTTGACGTAAATAAAATATTTTATGAGATAAATTTAGAGCTAAACCGGACGTGGTACTGTTTTCGAAAATGGCGCTTTTGGGTGATCGATATCTTCCGAAAAGCGTAACCAACTCCTTACCATAGAATCTCCGAACCGATTGTCCGTTTTAGGTTCCTAGTTCCTTCAATACTAGGTGGCGACTCCAAACTCGTAAATAAATTTATAAATACCAATCTAATCTTAGATTATTTTTGAGAAGTCCCGTCCGACGTCGAGTAGCAACAAAGTTGTCTCTTTAAATAATAATATACTCGCTCTTCTAAAGCCTTAAAATTTTATCTCTTCGGTAATAATATATTTGCTCTTTTAGAGCTTTCTATTAGATTGATACAATCGGATATAATATTAACATAAAATAAATAATTAAATAAACACAAAACGAATAAATATATTCCTTCATAAATAAATAAATTTAGCAAAATAAATTTATAACCATCACTATACGATGGAAATTATAAGAAATATAAAATATTTTATTTATAAATAGAAAAGCTAACAAGTAATTGATTCTAATTATTATTATTTTGATATATAAAAGTGATTGTCATAATTTATTCTTTTTTTTTTATTTTCAAAAAGGCTTGATAAGGCTCAATGAGGTACTTTGGTGTATGAGACCAATGCTTATTCATACCACATCTACAACATTCATTTTTAAAATACTAACTTGATTTATTTTTATTCTTTTTTTCATAGTTTATCCACTTCGGTAGTGAGGTGTATTATTATGGTCATCATGATTATAACGATAATTATTCCAAGCACCTCTATGGTTATGACCAAATCTTCGCTCATGCTCAAAATTATTATAAGTTGTCACATTCACTTTAGGAAATGGAGTAGATCCGATTAGACGAGATTTATTAAGCTTGTTATTTTGTTCGTAAATTTGAAATCAATTCATAATATTTTAAAATCTTTTTCTCGCTATTACTACCGTAGGAGCATATTCGAAGCATAAAAAGTAGATAATATTTTTCAAAATTAAGCACTCATAATCAATAATTCTTGTTTGAAATATCAAGGGTCAAAAAATCAAGTTTATGACGTTTGATATGATAAAAATTTTATAATGCAATACATAACAATAATGTTAGAAAATAATAATAAACATAACAATAAAATTAAAGCTTTTCAAATAACATACATTAGAGCATTAGATTCAATATATTAAATTATTTAAGTTTTTCAAACATATAGTCTACGTATTATTAGATTTAAAGTAAAGAATAAATTAGATACATACTTCTTGATGATTTAGATAATTTAGATCTTTTGGTAGAGTACTTGTATAAAAAAAATGATTAAAATAAATGATTGAGTCTTTTAATAGATACATACCTCATGGTCTATTATCTCGATTAGTTAGAGGTTCGTGTCGATCACATGTTATAAAATAAATGACAATAATAGTAGAATTGAAGAGAAAGATGATAGGAAAATGAATTCATTATAAAATAAAGTGAATACAATAGATAACAACTTCAAATGATTCTCTCAATCTCTAGAAAATACTTGTTTACAAACTAATGAACAATCAAGCTTGTTTATATGTTTCAAGATTAGGATGAGAATTGAAAAAGATTATGAACCATTAAAAATACATAAATTATTAAATCAATTGTATTACCTTTTCGAGTTTCTTATATTGAATGGTGAATTGAATTACATTAAGAATTATAAGAAGTGGGATATAAAAAGTATATAAACATTTATATAGACATTCATTATTTCATAATATTTTTATGTTTTTTATATATTTTTTATTTAATACTTAGTTTAGCATAGCTTATTGTTTTTTAGAATTTACATGTAATTTTTTCAATTACAAATATTGTTTCAAATATATATATATATATACACACACGTGTGTGTTCCTAAAATAAACTTTAAATTCGTATTTACAATAAAATTTTTATTATATATAAATTGATTTTTTTTTAGTGTTATCTAGGAAACGCATCGAGGGATAATCTAGTAAATAAATAAATAAATCCTTGCCATTTCCCTCTCTCGTACAGAAAAACAAGAGCAAAATAAGCGAAAAAAGAAAAAAAGAAAGACACACTTTAGGCGGAGCTCACTCGCAGTCAATATTAAATTCTCTATCTGGTAACAAAAACAACTTCTAGGGTTTGGCTAGAAAGAATCATAGATAGCAATGGCGATGGCAACTGCTTTGAGACGCGGAGGAAGGGGACTTGTCTCCCCTCAACCATTCACCGCCGTCCGATCCTCTCTTATCACCGAGTACGAATCAATCAGATCTATTCTCTTTTCATTTCTCTGTTCGATAGAATATGACCGTATTTTATTGTCTTCTATCTGATGCTTAATGAAATTGAGTTTGATAATTGTGTTTTTTTTTTGTTCATGTTGAAATACTTATATGGAAATGAAGCGGCTTTTGCAGGTTTAATTAATCGGGATTATAATTGATTTTGAAATGTTAATTTAGATTGACTAACAATGGGTTTCTTTATCATATATATTAAAAGATAAAAACACACAAGTTTTTTTTTTAAGAGGCTGTTTTATCATTTCTTGTTAATGGGTTTGTGTTTGTTTGTGCGGTGAGTAATTCATGAATACCCAACGTGGTTCCATTGAAGTTCCTGGGGCACAGTAGCTTTATTTGTAAAAAAGTCTTACTTGATCCTCCGTCTGTATAAATTGTTGTTTAGCTATCCAAATAGTTATGGGGTTGAAAACAGCCTTCTAGATCAGTTGCGGAATTGTCCGTTCACTGTTTAGAACATTTCTGTGACAGCTAAAATGTAAAGATGGTCAAAAAGAAAAAAGAGAAAAAGAAAAAAGGGATTGTCCATTCAATCTTACTTGCTCCTTCGTTTGTATAAATTGTTGTTTAGCTATCCAAATAGTTATGGGGTTGAAAACAGCCTTCTAGTTCAGTTGCTCGTTTGTTTTTATAAATTGTCGTTTAGCTATCCAAATAGTTATGGGGTTAAAAGCAGCCTTCTAGTTCAGTTGCGGAATTGTCCGTTCACTGGTTAGAGCATTTCTGTGACTGCTAAAATTTAAAGATGGTAAAAAAAAAGGGGGGATTGTGGTTCTGAATTCAAATACTTAAAAGAGAAAAAAACATGGGGTCATGGGAATAATGAAACAAGTAACTAAACAGATTATTATTATTATTATTATTATTATTTTACTGTCCTACAAACAAGTCTGTCATCTATAAATTGAGATCGAGTGCTATTTGGGATTTCACAGATCAAGTTCTAGTTCCCTTGAGGGTTACTTACGATTTATCTGTTCGTTGATTGGGTTGCTTGACTCACTACATTTTAGAAATTGTACAAGTATGTATAACTAAAGGATTTTGTAGAAAGTTCGGAAAAAAGAAAAGAAAAAGAAATTGAATTACGGGAGAGAATAAATCGCTGTATGGAATGAACAAACCTGACAATGGCATGTTTGCTTGCTTATATTTCCTTCCATGATTTCCTCTGTCTGATTTCTTGTTTTGGATACTTTTAGAAAATTCTTGTGCTTTTCAATTGGAACAAGCTAAATAATTATCTGGATTCACAGGGAGCATGTCCCTCTTGGAGTGCGTTCCATTTCAACTCAAGTGGGTAAGAATACTGCCATTCGATATTTGCTGCCTTTCTTTTTTTGATGTTAAGACTTTGTTTCTTGCTGCATGTCAATAAAATTAAGTCTCTGAAACCTGAAACTGTGGATGATTCATTGTGATGTACCTTACGCAGTTCGAAATCGGATGAAAAGTGTCAAGAACATTCAGAAAATTACGAAGGCAATGAAGATGGTTGCAGCCTCAAAGTTGCGATTAATTCAAACTAAAGCTGAAAATTCTCGTGGTCTATGGCAGCCGTTTACTGCGCTTCTGGGAGATACTCCTAGTATGTTCACTTAGAAGTTTTTATCTGGCCACTGTTTTCTTAACTTGTCTCTATTTTGCTATTTTATGTGTTCTGCATTTATTAATGCAGTCTATGATTCATGAATGGAACGGAAATTTGTTTTGAACAAATCCTAGTAACTGCTTCAAATAGTAGAGCCTCAGTGGGTATATCTCTTTACCGAAGTTAGAAGCTTATAAATTCATGGCAGCAGCATGTGAGAGCATGTGTTATTGTAGGAGGTAGTATGTGAGAGCATGTGGTATTGCAGGAAAAGATTGGTTCAAACTTTGAACCTGAGGAAATGCAAGCTCCATAGAAACTCTAGATCTATTTCTTTATCTTACCTTGAAAATAGTGCATTAAGAATCTAAGAAATGTGAAAAATTACCTGTGCAACATTTCAAAATCGAGGACCCGTTCTAACCTAATGAATGAAAAAAATGGTGGAGGAATCTGTTTCAAATGCTTGATTAGAATATTGATTCTGAAAACATTAAGTTGTCTAGCCAACATTCAAGTTTATGCACTTATAAAATTTCTCTTGGATTCAGGATATTTTTAATAGTTTCCTTACTAGTTTTGGTTTTATTATTTAATTCAGGGGTCTTTATATTAATTGGAGTTTTTAGCTGTCTTGTGATTAGCATGGGACAAATTATTAGGATTTTACTAGTATAAATAGGCTGCTAGGATTATGTTATATTGTTATTTTATCAGACTATCAGATTCTAGATGTTTTTTATGAATCCTAAACTCTATTATTTCTGCTGTAATTTCTCTATTCTACTGTTTTTGCCTTCCACAGTACATACATTCTTGCTATCGTACTAGATCCCTCTCTACTCTGTTTCTTTCTATCTCTGAATACTTCGTATTTTATGCTTCTTTTTCTTTGTTTGCTAGGTGTTGATGTAAAGAAGAATGTGATTGTCACTGTGTCTTCGGATAAAGGTCTCTGTGGTGGAATTAACTCTACAGCAGTCAAGGTCAGCAGGGCCGTTAGCAAGGTGACTTCTGGTAGGTTTTCTTTTTCTTCTTGCAACTAAACTTTTTTGGATTGTTTGCAGTGGGTTTGTTTGTTTTGAAACCTATATATATTCTTTTTTAACTGCCATAGGTCCTGACAAAGAGACAAAATATGTCATCTTGGGAGAAAAGGCAAAGGCTCAGTTGATACGTGATTCAAAAAAGAATATTGCAATATGCATGACAGAGTTGCAGAAGAATCCTCTGAATTATACGCAGGTTAGCTGGTCATCTTTCCTGGACTCATGGATCTGGAGAAAAAACCTCCTTTGTCTCTTCACATGCACATGAATGGACTTTTTAGTGTTTTAAATCCCGAGTTGGTTTAACGAAGAAGACAGGAGGAAAAAAATCAGTTTTTATGGCCAGGACGCTGCTTGTGCCCAGTTTATTATTGGTTGAGCTCCTGTCTTCTTTATCATCACTCTAATACTCTTTACTGCTAAATGGACCTGGTAGTAAGTCCCTTGTTGCACGGATATCTGTTATGATTCTTCTTTGATGGGTTCTTTTATGCTTTTGTTAAAAGCCATTCAGTTATTTCCTTTGTTTCGAAGGTAAGGGGAATATGAAGGAAATGGACAGTGAGAGAAAAAGTCCCCCCCCCCCCCAAAGCCATTCAGTCATCTCTCCAATTTGAAGAGAAGTGCATGTGTGATTTTGAGAAGGAAGGTGTTTGGGGGATTTGGGCGGTGGGGGGCTAATTTAAATAAAAGAATAATGACTTTATCCTAGATTTAAATTCACAATCTTGTGGCATGAGAAATGTAAAAGACATTAAAGTGATTTTACCAACATTTTCCTTCCTTTTCATTTTATTTTACTCCCAGATAAAGAAAGCACAATTTTTCCTCTATTTTCATTCCTCTTCTAAAAGGACAAAAAGAAAAAGGGAGAGATCTTGTTTTCTTTCATCTATTTTATTTTTCACAACTTTCCTTCCTCTCATTTTCCTTCTCTCCCAAATGAAGTGTAGAAGTCAAATGATAGTTTATATAAGCTAAGAATCTTAGAGATTAAAGTTATAAAAGTTCATCCACAATTCCATTGAATTTTTTATATTTCAGGTCTCTGTTCTGGCAGATGATATCTTAAAGAATGTGGAATATGATGCTTTGAGGATTGTCTTCAACAAGTTCCAGTCAGTGGTCTCATTTCTTCCGACCATGGCAACTATATTATCTCCTGAGGTGATTCAGAGTGGTGCACCTGCTAATATGTATACCTTTTGGATTTTTGGTAAGGATTGTGGATTGTATATGATTGAATGTTGATATAGGTTGCGGAGAGAGAGACTGAATCTGGTGGGAAGCTTGGTGATCTTGATTCCTATGAGATTGAAGGTGGTGAAACAAAGGGTGAAATACTTCAGAATCTTACTGAGTTCCAGTTTTCTTGTGTAAGCGTTGCCAAAATCCTCTATTTTCTGAGCAGTATTCAGGACTGATTCCATTTCTCAAAGTATGTATGAACTGCAAACCTAGACTTGGAACTTAAGAGCAGTAGTGCAACCCTGATTAATGATTATGCCATTCTGGTTCATATGAGAACTGATTCTACTATGCAGGTTTTAGTTTAGTGATACAAGTTTAGTTGATCAGTTGAGCCATTCACCTTCATATTTAACTCCATTTCTTTTCTTTTGTTTGATGCCTGTTTCTTCCACAGAACCTTATGATGTTTATGGGATTTGTCAAGTAAATTTTCATATTTTCTTCAGGTTCTGTTCAATGCGGTAATGGAGAATGCTTGCAGTGAGCAAGGTGCAAGAATGTCTGCTATGGATAGCTCAAGCAGAAATGCTGGAGAAATGCTTGATCGCTTGACACTGACTTATAACAGGTTTCTTTCTTTCTGTCTGTCCCTGCACACACACACACATGCTGGGAATCTTACTTTGAGATGAAAGTATGTTTATTGATGGAGTAGTGAATGGAAAATTTACCCTGCGTAATCGTGATGTTTGGTACAATTTTTGGTTGGGTAGGGGTGGGTGGATCCATATATTTTTTATCTGTACTCAAATAGATTTCTCTCTCTTACCACTAACAGTATTTTAATATTGTCCAATTCATCAATCCATCAAATATGTTTGAGAAACAACTCAAGGCCTTTCACAATTTCTTTAGTAACAATTACTCTCGTGAACCATTCGCCATAACTTATATAGCCTTGTATCAGTACAAGGGTGAAATCTCTCTAATATCTTTGGCAAAACCGAGTTGATTGTTTTAAAATATTGTTCATCCATTAATGTATAATATGCAAAGGAGTTGTTGGGAATTTGTTTCTTTTACGTATGATGGTTTGGAGCCAAGCAAACATGTTTTGTTCTTGCATCTGTCCTTGTTAATTGATTTCTGAAATTTGTTTGATATTTTTGTATCAGAACCCGTCAAGCATCTATCACAACGGAGTTGACTGAGATTATATCTGGAGCTGCAGCACTGGAGGGTTGAAATTGAAGATTTTTTTTTTCTGACATTGACCAATAAGATTATTATTAGCAAAGGCTTGGAATTTCATGGTGCCATCTTTTGAGGTTTTTGTTGAGCGACTGTAATAATCCCCCAGCATTGTTTTCTGTTCTTGGGAATTAAAAATCAAGTTTATCATGGTTTGTTTGTATTCTTGGTTTCATTTATTTTTCAGCTCTTGTTCCTTGAAATTGATTTCCTGTGGTTCTGGCTTGAACACTTGAGAACTGTTGTAAATTTTTCTGTAGTCTTGCCTGACATTGTTTGCTTTCTCTACAATGCACGTGAATAAGATTTTGAAAACTGAACATTTGAAAATTTGGGGCGCTGGACTGGAGGTGGATTTTGGCTTGTTTTTTCGGTTAAACTAGCTGATGGCCTCGTTGCTGCAATTTTTTATTTTAGTTATATATGTATATATTTGTAACCGAAATGTCTATTTTTGTATTTTGGAAAATTTTATAGAGCTCCAAATAAAAGAACAAATTATTGTGCACAAATCAATGATCCTCTTAATCATGCTCATGAAAGTTAATCTAAAAGAAGATGTTCCTCCTTGGGTATGTATTGGGTTGGTTCGTTCAAATCATTATGCTGGGTCTCATAGGCAAGAGAAAAAAAAATTAGGAATCAAATTAAAATAAATTACAAAACAACGGAAGATAAAGTTATTCAAATTATTGAAGGAATCAAATTAAAAGAAATTACTAAATAAAAGATCAAATTATTGAAATATTTAAAATAATTATAACCAAAAGAATACATGTTTTCTCGATTGAATAAATTGGAAATTATCCTTTTAGTTTCGCTAAAAGAATTAAATAGTCTCTTATTTTAAAAATTAATTTATTAGTTTTTTAAATAATGTTGATCACGGTTAATTTAATATAATTTTTTTAATAAATATCATTTTTCATATTATTTTTTTTACACTTATGTTTATATTTTTCTATTTATTAAAACAAAAAAAATTGAAAAAGAACAAAAAAGATTAAGATACAAATAGATGTAAAAATATTGGGATTAATTAATTAGTTATTGAAACTAGAAGGATTGTTTAATTCCTTTTAAAAACTTAAAAGGCCTAATTTATAATTTACTCGTGCAAAAAAACTAAATAAATTCATATACAATAAATTATAAATTAGTCTCTTAATTTTGCAAAATAAATTAAATAATCTCTTTTGTTTCAAAATCTAATTAATTAGTCTTCATATTTTTAAATCAATATGTAACTTAATTTTTTTCGTTCTTTTTTATTTATTTATTTATTTGTTTTAGAAATATAAAAAATAATTAAAAAATATGAAAATAATGATGAGAGCATAAGATATTTTTTTGGAAGAAAGTAATATTAAATTATCGATGATCAACACTCGGTCAAGAGATTAATTAATTAGTTTTTGAAACAAAAGTAATTATTTAATTTGTGTAGCAAAGCTAAAGGGACTAATTTATAATTTACTCAATATATTAATGATAACTTATAAGGGTCATCCATGCATTTTTAATTTATTTATTTGATCGAGTTTGTGTTTTAAAATAATACATACACAATTAATTATCTCTAAATTAAAAAAAAATGATATATACATTCTTAATCAAACAAAATACTAAAATATTGACATATATATTTATTAAAAAAATGTTTGAACACCGGATTAAAAAATAAAAAACTACTCACGTCTTAACACCTTTTTTTTTTTTTTAAAGTGCCCAAAAGCGTTAGTAATAATGTAGTAAAGTTAATCAATAATAATTAAAAAAAAAAAAAACAACATAATATTTGGGTGGAAATTTAAAACTTTTGCATGTAATATATATTGATAGAAACAAGAGAGAATTATAGTCTATAAAAAAAATTAGTGATATATATAAAAGCAAACATGAATATTGAAATATTGACACATGAGGGGAAAAAAAGGGTCAAAAGCATTAGTGCGTAGCTAGTGAAATACCCGTGCTACACTCGCTTCGAACAAAATAGCATGTTAGACGAGATATTCTAGCAATTTAATGCAATGTTTAAAGTATGTCGGTATTTATGAAAGTGTTTAATTATTTTTTTTATTTGTTTGTTTGTAAATTTTGGTCTTTAGTTGTTGTTTTTTGAACGTAAGAAATTTGTTTTTTGAGAACAATATTTTGTTATTATTTTTACATTGTTGCAAGTACATAGAAAAAAACAATGAAAGATCAAAATGGATGGGGTATGTGGAAGCTAGTAGAAACTCGGTTTGGTAGATGTTCAAGATGATGTTCATATGAGCAAAGCTATTACATTTGCTCATCAGCTCGATTGAGTTGTTGTGTAGGATCGCTATAGACATTGAAAACGTGAGTTGTAATGAAATGATGGTCAATTATTTTTCTGAAATAGCGAGTTTCGTCTAACGCAAAATATTTTAAGTCGATCAATTGAATTGAGCAATAGTTGCAGCGTAACGTTTTTTTCAACATATCCATAATCTATAACGCTATTTGCATGTGTATTTGAAGCGTGAGGCAACAACATTCCCGGTGAGAAGCAATCCGGCTTCAACTATGGCATCTTGAATGATGTAAGTGATTCGATATCTATGTAAGATGAAAAAAGGATGAAGCAAGATGTTGCAACATAACCGTTATGAATTTGTGTTGATCATGTAAAAGACTAAGTTGAAAGTCATGACGTTGGCAATAAAGCGAAAAGATTTAATGTGGTTACTGTGGACTAGGATCTTGGTTGAGCTTTCCATGGATTGCTTATGAGTACATATTTGTTGTTTGTTGTGCAAGGCGATTGCATTGTGAACATGTGAAATACCACCCTCCAAAAGTTGTGTCAATATGGATGATCTTGGTTTTTTAATCGTGTAACAAACGATCTCGAAAAAAATTATGATGCGATAAATATAGAATTTACCTTGTTAGGAAGAAAATTCAAGCGAAAGGTGTATGCGTAAAATATTTTTGGAAAGCGATGAAGAGTTATACCAACCTCTACATTGTCAATCGTTGGTTGGAGCAAATGTTCCATTCTTGTCTTATTTTCTATTTGCAAGCTTTTGATATCCATGGATTGAGCTAAAAGCAATGAGTTAGAAATTGATTTTATATATATATATATATATATATATAAAAGAATGGATGAAAAATAAGTTCGGAAAATGAGAAAAAGAATCATACAAATTGTGTCTTTTATTTGCTTAGGATGGAAGAGCACAAGAAGTTTTGGTATTTGAAATATGATATGGTAGGTTCATATTTAAAGGATTTAAATTGGCCCCACATAAAAATTAGGTTGTCACAATCACTTCAAATGTTCAATTTTAAAGAAAATGGTTGTTTGTTCGGTCGTATTTAAAATCATAAAAACATTGAATGACGAGTAATATTCTTTTTTTTTTTCATTTTCTTGTCCGGAGAAAACGACATAGCTAAATAGCATTTTGTTGGAAGATTTGAAAGTGACTTCTTCTCCATTATTTGAGTGTTTAAATCAAAATGGGTGGGCGAGGTTACTTGTTTCTGTTTCCTTCTATCTATGCCAAACTTTTCTATTTTATTCTTATTATAGAATAAAGTATAGAGCGATGCTATGCCCACTCACGGATTCTTTTTTATTTTCTTTAAAACACTCACACGATGTGAGAAAGAATCGGAGAGAGAGGTCCTAGAAAAAGTTACTTTAAAAGTATAACACATTACAATAGTAGCTTCCAGTTCTTCTAGAGAGTAACCATAGTTTTTATATTGGTTACCAACTTATTCACTATTATTTTCCCGATTCTTTTGCTTCCAAATTTTAGAATTCTACCCCTTTTTTTATTATTATGGTTTAGAGTGTTTTTCAAGGTACGTTACCATCTAAATTTTTTTGGCAATGTTCATATTGTAACTCGTAAAAAAAGAAAAAAAATTAAAATTTAGTTTGACACTTGGAGTGTTGTTGAATTCACCGAATGCAAGTGATATGCAACTGTAAAGTCTTTTCAATGTAAGAGTTATATGCCTATGGTAGAAAAAATGATTTCAATTTAGTGATGGGTTGAACAAATTATTTAAGGGTGGTAATAACTAATTCCAAAGCAATATAGGTGCTGGCAAAAAAATTCATGTTATTGTAAACGATCATTATGACCATTGGTATTTATATATACATCAATGTATGAGTGTTTGATAAGTAGGACAATAAAAAAGCTGGATGAAAATAAAAATAGATGAATAGTATAACAAATATCTTTCATAGTACTTGGATAGAATGAAACACATATATATGAATTCAACAAACATAATTGAAGCATCTAGAAGGTCTATTACAAACTAAATAAAGGAAATACAAAGAATTATGTGATAAAAGATCATTTGATAGGTATTGTGTTTCCAAAACAAATGCAATGAAACATTCTTTTTTACAACAATGATTCAACAAAGACAAGTTCTTTTAAGTTATATGCCAAAAACACCAAGGAGCATAGGTGCGTTACATTGATCGAATCCCTGTGCATTCAAAAAAGGTTTGAAGGAATCAAAAGTGGTGTAAACACCCCGCTTTATACCGCCCTACTCCATTTACTACGTACATATGTTGATTCTTTGTTAACCTCTAACACACATTAATTTAGTTTGAATAGAATGATGCGAGACATGATATATATATATATATATATATCTATTTGTTTGACATAGCTCACCTTTTGTTTTTCTCACGGCAAATGGTGGTTTTTTTGCAATGTGCTCCTCGACAATCTGCTTGCCACGATCTAGCATAAGCTTAGGTGTTTCGATGTCGAGTCGGGTTCGGTGTAAAGACAATGATGCTATAGGATGAGAGATTAAGTGCCAAGAAACTAAAACATTAGGAATGGGCTAGTGCAAAGATTAAATATTTGTAAGTTTGTCTTGTTAAGATTATAAAGGTTCGTTTTACCTACTTTTATTGTAATGGTGTTTGTTTAATAGGAAAACATCTTGAGATAAAATCGACGGAATGAGTGTATTTTAAAGCAAAAATTGGGTTGTCCTATCGAGGATCTTTTATTGAGTAATCCAATTTACATTTTGTTTATGAGGAAAATGGTTAGAAGCCGAAGACTTTGCTAGCCGACCCACGATCGTAGGAGAGGATGAATCTATAAGTGTTTGAGCTTCTTTGATGGTTGGAGTGTGTGGTTCGATAGTAGTTGTAGTTGATTAAGTTGAAGCGAATTGGAATAGATTGATTGAAGTGCAAGAGGTTCATTGACAACCCTTTTCACAAGCAATAGTCCATCGGTTTCAGCATCACAATCATCTTCAAATACAACATTCACCAATATATCATAGCTATTGTTCATTTACTTGAAAATGCCAAAATGAATCTAAAAGACTTAGTATTTCATCAATTTTTATAAAATAGTGATATGCTAAAGCCCCAAAAAAATTCCGAGCTCATTTTTCAGTCATCATAAAATTAGTAACATCAACTCCATCAATCACAATGCAATCAATTTTGAACCTAGATGTAGCAGATATCGATTATTAATAATAATTCATAATCCGACTCGAGGTAATAGAGCAACTAATCTGTGAAGGTGTAATAATCCAAACCATTATTAAATGAATTAAAAATAAATTAAATATTTAAGAAAATTAATTCATGAACATGGAAGAATTGTTATAAGATTGTTAGAATATTCGGTGTGCTTAGGATCGTTATATGTGCTAAGTGAATATTTTACTGATTTTTCAATGCATGAATAGTAACTCTTTATGCAAAATAATTATTTTGAGCATTTTAAATGTGCATGGAAAATGTTCCATTTGCATAAAATATTTGCTAGAGGGGTGCTAGATTATTCGATGCCATTGGATGAATTTTCTAAACTTTAGTGATTGTTTTATTTGAACTTTTCGAGTGCATGAATAATTTTTTAAAAGTAAATTAATTATTTTAAGTTCTTTAAAGGTGCAAGAAAATTATCCAATGGATATAGAAAAATCATTTAGGGGTTTTAGGAATATTTCATAAAGTTAGATGAATTTTTCTATGCATAGGGAATATTTTCTATAGAAATAAGTGCATTTTTATACAAAATAATTAATTAGGAAGCTTAAACAAGTGTATAAAAATTATGTGAATGATGAATAAATTATTATAAGAGGTTTTTGAATTTATTATTATAAAGAAATTAATTTTTGAAAAGGTGTGGAATAAATTTTATAGAAGTAGGGACCTAATTGTATAAAATTAAAATTTTGAACCTTTAAATTAAATTAGGAATGAACTTTAGGAATAAAAAAATTGTTAGGAAACCTTTAAAGGAAGGGCCTAAAGTGATCAATTGAAAATTTTGACGTGTGGAAGAGTAATTAATGGAAAAATTAGCAACTTAATGGACTAAAATTAAGCAAACTTTGAGAGAGATTTTATCTCCTTTATCGCCATTCACCTCAATGATTTGGACGTAATTAATGCACAACACAAATGCAAGGAGAGGATTTAAAGAGGACGATTTAGATAGAAAGATAAAATTTAAAGAAAGAATGAATGGCTAAGATTAAAACCAAATAAAGGGATAAGATTAAAAGGATAATTAAGGGCCAAGATTAAACCAAATGAAGGGTTGAGAAGGATTTAATCAAGCGAAAAAGTCTTAACTAATTTTGCCTAGAAACATGGGGGTAGGAAAAATGTTGAAAAATTGAAAAAACTAAGGGAAACTCTTGCAAATTTTCCATAAGCCTTCACCCAAATTCTCTCCTAAACACTTCCAAACACCTTAAATCATCGAATTAATCCTATAATTTTAGCTAGAAACACGAAATTTCAAGGAGGAAAAATCCAATGCTTGGCCGAAACTTAGAGGGCAAAAGGAGAAAGAAGAAATTCTCAAGCAATCCAACTTTTTAAGGTTTAATTGGAGCTATTTAGGTAAGTTAATCTCACCTATACCATAAAGATATGTTTATTGATGCTCATTGTTGTTTTGAAAGCTTTAATTTGTATTTAATTGCTTAAATTTTGAAAATTAGGATTAGTGTTCTTGGTGAGGAAAAATTGAGAGAAATGATTTTAACTTGAAAATTAATGAAATTAAAGTTAGAATATTTCAATTGAATATGAAAATAAGTGTTAGAAACAAGAAATTCTTAGGTCAATTTCTTTAAGACCATTCGAACCCAAAATAACAATTTTATGGTTTTTAATTCTTTGATTTGTTTATGAATCCTTGCTTGATTTTGTGTTATCTAGGTATGAATTGATGATTGAGCATGATAAATTACATAAAATTTGGAATTTTAACCTAGTTTCTTTAGGCCCACATTCGACCCAATTAGGGAGAAACTTAGGGTTTAAATACACTTGGTTATTAATGGTTTAATTGGTTAATTTGAAGTTAGAATAATGTAAAAAGAAGGACTAGAATGATAAATTGTAATGAAATTGAAAAAATTAACCTAGATTACCATAATTAGGGTTTCGGCCCATTAAGCCCAATTTAGGGTTTATACATGCAATTAGCATATAAATGCTTAATTGATTAAACTTTTGATATTAAACACTACCAAGCAGTAGCTCGACCAACTTTGAAATAGCCAATTGTAGCTTTCGCCATACTAACGCCTCATTCCAAAAGTACCACTATTGCTCATTGGGTCACTTTTTATAAATTTTTATTTTACATTCAAATTTAAACAATGCCTACAATGTATAAATCAAATATATTAATTTCCATTTAAATACCTTTTGCAAAATGGTTGTACAAATTTCTAAAATAATTTTTATACTAATTTCAATAATCGTGTGTGTATTATATATAATAGGGTTTTCACATATATTTTAAAATAGGATCTCTCGTTCTTCTAATTATATATAGTTTGTTATAACATAATATGTAAAATCTATTTGAAACATTTGTATAATCATCTAAATCACTATAGATTTTAGCTTCTTTTCTTCATTTTTAGCCTGAGTCTCACTAAAAGCAAGAAAAAAAAACTCTTTCTAGATAATTATCAATATTATTCTATTGCATGTAGGATTAATTATTATAAAATAATAATTGAAGTGGGATCTTTTTTTCAACGAGTTAACATCGAAAAAAATAGATAAATCTATCTTTACGATCCATTAAAAAAATACTATTCACATTGAAATAAAAGATTCATAGAAACTTCATTTTTCAAATATCGAACAAGTTCTCTTCGATAATTTTTCAAACACTTAAGCGACGAAGCCATCTAAATCCCGTAAGGTTATGTTTAGGCCCATTCACTCGTCCCAATCCTTAATAAAATAAATCGTAGCCAAATTGACCAATCTTCATATGGCATGTTTGTCCGAGTCGAAAATGTTAATTGCCTGGAACGACTTAGATAAATATTTTGCTTTTAATGTGTCACCATTTTTTGTTTTTCATCTACATTGCCGTGTCTTTGCGCAAACACAAAATGAACCTATAATAGCTCGTGCTTATAATGTTGTTTGCCTTTATTTGTTTGTTTACATCTCTTTTATACATGTCCATTAAAAAACATGTTTCATCAGCTTTTTTTTCCTTTTTAACAAACCTTTGCTGAAACCATGACAATTCGATTGTCTACTTTAAAGATGTATAGCCATAAAGGGATCATTCAAGCCCGTGCTTGTTAGGTGTGGACAACCACCAATAATGGCACACTAACCAGCTTTAACTATCTTCTCCTCGATGTTAAGGCACCTAAATAATTTAGATATCGTTTATGTTAGGTGCTCCACAACAAGCTCCATTTTACTAGTCATGCTATTCTTCCATTTTGTTATAATCATACTATAGAAAAAATATACTGCAAATAAAAATTTACCAAACCTATCCATCAACAAATGTTTATTCATCTACGTTGTTCGAAGATAGTAATTCATGGTCGCTTGAAATGCCTTCTCTATTTTTTATACAAGTCTTATTTATCCTTTATTGAAGTTTGCTATAGACCATTGACATTATTTTGTTATCATTTTTCCTTAGTTTTTTTCCTACGAGAGTCCAATTCGAGCTTCGACAAGAGCTAAAGATGTCATTCATTTTCAAGCATAGTCGTGTAATGCTTTCTTGCTTTTCATTTGATCTTTTTGTTCTCTTCTTTGCCTTCGAGTCCTTACTAACTCCGAAATAGTGTGATGGTTGAACCATGCTATTGAAAAGATATGGCCTATATGTATGGAAAAAATTGCATCGCGAAGATTCGATTTCCCATTATACCTTAGTTCATGAAAAAGCATAAACCATGGATCATCGCATGAATCCACTTTTCTACTACTCTCCTCCATATGTCTATCATGTACTTTTTATGATTTTTACTAGCTTAAATTGCCTTTTTGTTTGAAATTCCTTTTTTTTTGGAAAGAAACTAAACAAATTGCCATTATACTTTAGCCAAGCCTCCTTTGTTAGCATTTGGTTATAGTTTTTCTTTTCATTTTCATCCTAATTTTTTTAGCTTGCTTTCATTTTCAATAGATATTTATTCTCTTTCTTTAACATTTTTTTAATCAATTATATATGTGGGGTGATTGAGTTTTTCATTTTTTTCCCATAAAGTAAAAAAAAAATTGACTTGTCTATGATGTGGTCGGCAATTAACCATGCCATATCTTTACGTAACATACATAATTAATAGATATTTATTTACACTTGATTATGCAGTTCATGAAAGTTTAAAACCTATTCGGACAAAACTAAAGTTTAAACAATTATTTACTTTCTCAATGTTTTTTTCTTAATGAATATTGTGCTTCTCGGATTTATTGTGAAAAATGGTCAAAATATAAAAAAAAAAACAAAACAAAAAGCGAGAAACTAATAGGACTAGACAAACCTTAAGAAAACGAGACATGATGACTTTTCACTTATCAAAACACAAAATTACGAGCAAGAGATAGAAAAACAAAGATCTTCTCAAATGTTAAACATAAATTTTTGTTTAAACTAATAAGATATATTTATAATTCCTTATTCAAAAATGGCTTTTTATTATTATCTCAATTTTTGATACTTGTTGTATGTATCCGATGTTAGTAATTGTATGTATCCGATGGTAGCAACACATAATACAAACTTTTATAGTCTATGAGAGAAGTTCATAATTAAATTCAATTTTAACATTTCTTTAATCGTACTCTAATTTTTTACAACTTGCTACAAAATGGCTATAAGTTTATAACTTCCAAAAAAATTGCATTACAAGAAGCAATTTTTACATTGGGATGAGAGCTTCTAAATTGTGATGTTGCTTGAGATAAACTCGTTGTAAGTTTGCAATACGAGAGAAAAGCATAATATGATTTTCACCGAGCATGAAAGCAACAACCCATAAAAAAACATAGAAAAATTTTAGAAATGGTCGCCAATAAAAATATTTTTTAAAAAATAAACTAACATAAAGACAACATTTGATATTGTTTGCATGAGCATCCTTTCTTATTATTGTCTAATAAAAGGTCAAACTAAACCATTTTATCTTTCATTTTTATAAATCAAATTTATCTAAAACTTTATAAATAATTTCTTTTAATATTATTGTTAATCATTTTAGTACTACTATTATATAATTGAACACACAACTAGAACCCGGTTTTATGGGTTTAATTTCTCATTCTTTTTAAGCTCTTTTCTTGTAATTTGTACATGTGATATTTTTTAAAATTTGTTTAATTTTGATCAATGCTATGTAGTTTCATGCTTTAACTTTATTTAATAATTGGATAGGTGATGTTTCTTAGTGATGAAAGTATCTTTTTTAGTCATGATTTACATTTTCTAGAGATGAGAAAGTTTAAGCAAAAAATAAAATATGTCACAAAAAATATTGAAAAAGTGAAGTGGCGGGGTGTAAACCACGATATACTAGCAATGTTTGTTTGTTTTATGCTCTTGCACCTCCAACCACTTCCGCCTTAAAACATCAATCGAGTCCCAAACTTTTTGATTGAATCAATTTTGTTCTAAATATATTGGACATATATTAGACAATGTCACTTTTCAATCAACTCAATATTAGTGATAGTTAAATATTTTGTCCAATTTATATGTAGTTGTTAAGTTTTTTCATGAAAAAAACTAACATAAACTCCAACATAAGATTTGTCTTTGTACCATATGAGTGCATTTTAGTGTAGGTTGTGTATTGCAACCTATATGTGTATAGTGTAGACTATGAATTGTGGGAACTTTATTTGGTAACTTGATTTCATGAGTCAATACTAATTAAATTACTATTGATAACGTACACACACACATAAAAAAGAAAAGTAATTCTTATTTGGTCATGCTATATTATAAACGAGAAAAGAGTGTAGATAGTGCTAAAAAATTAAAATTAGCATTAATCTTTGTTTTTTTTTTTTTTTTTTGTATAATTGCGATGATAATTGTTTGAAAATTAAGAAGTAAGGAACTTTTTAGAAAAAAATATAATTGATACTAATCTTTACACTTGCTCAAACAAACCTTAGTAACCGAGTACTACAAATGTAAAAAATTACATTAATTGTAGTTTATAATAGTTCTTTCAATATATACCAACTTTAGAGAATTTCATAACATGCGAGATATTAGATAAGGATCGTACACGTTTATATATATATATATATAGAGAGAGAGAGAGAGAGAAATAACAGATTAAAATGAGGAGGGTACATGGCTTAAAAATAAATCTTGACCCATCGCTCAATTCTCTCTCCACTCTCAAGTGCATCAACCATAAACCATCCAATAACTCTATGTTTAGTTTCAATTTATAGGACATGGAAAGCGAGGCTAACATTTTAAAAAATGTATGTTATTTCAAATAGGTATGGCACTCTATCATTCCTTTAATCCTTTTAATTAAAGCACATAAGGTTGTTATTTCAAGTTTTTGAGCCTTAAATAATGTCATGGACTATGGTTTTGAGGGGAGAGTTAATGGCTTGAATATCTTTTTGGTTTAGGAATCATATTTGTGGGTTAGTAAAGTGAGTTAGGATTGTGACATAGGTTATATAATTTTTTAAAAAAAATAGTAAAACAAAACCTTAAGTTACTGTGTGTTTAACTATAGGCGCACATTCATTGTTATTGTATATAGTTTTAAAAAACTAATCTTCTTGTCAACATTAAATAAAAAAATATTTTTTTGATAGAATCTTACATATATATATATATATATATATATATATGATAGCATATTTTAGAATTTTGGATAAAATTTTTAATTTAAATTATTATAGAGCTTTATTTTAAAATCATTGCATAAAGAAAAATGAATCATGTTTTTTTTAGTTGGAAAAATTATGAAAAACACAAAGATTATGAAAAAAATTAATTATTCACTACATTAAAAGAATTATAATATTGATAATTTTAGAGCATTGCTTTTGATACGCAAAGAGATCTGTAGATAAAAAATATATATATGTTTGTGCAACTCGCATCGCACAACATCGATCGCAATAATAAAATAAGTTGATGTTGATGAATTTATTGATTGATCAATTCATTCATTTAAAATTCATTCGTAAATACCATCTTATTTTATAATGTTATTTATCAACACTATCAACCCAAACTTATCTAATCATATCATGCTCGCAAGCAAAGCACGGGTCACAAACTAGCTAAAAATATAATGCCATTTCATTGTATGTTTCACTGTTCATAAAGATTGTTTTTCCTATACATTCTATTATTCTCTTTTGATATTTCATTCCAGTGCTTTTTTTGTTTTTTTGAACATTTTATTGCAATGTTATTTTGCACCCTCTAGTGTTTGTATTTTTTTGTTGTGCCATTAAGTGGATCCGTGCAATTACGTTGTTGGCCCCTAGTGCTCTCTTCTTATCCTTGATTTCGCGTGTTAATAGTCGAGGTGGGTCCGATTTTTTATGTTTTTTTTTGGTGGGGTAGTCTTTTTTTACCCTTTGGTTTTCTTTTTATTTTTTTTGTGCCCCTTAGCGATGTTGTGCTACTACATCTTTGCCCCTTTTTTTTTTCAATTTGATGTTTGTTGCATAAGTGTTTTTTTCATCATTTTGTGTCCTTTTTCTCGCAATGCATTTAATGGTGCTGCGCAAGAGGTCTTCTTTGGGTTTCTCTCTCTTCATTTTTTTGATCTTTTCCTTTGATATTTTAGCTGGTTTTCTTCTGAATTTACTTTCGTTGTAGGTGAATAGTTTTTTTTTTTTTTTTAGTTTCATTCTTTCCTGGTTGTTGTATCAATTATGAGACGAGCTTGTCGTTACCGATCGTTCTAGGCTAATTTGTGATCACCCATCGGAATTAAAAACAAAAAATATTTTATAATATCTTAATTTTTATAAAATCATTGACATTAATTAACACTTTTGATTTTTAAAAATTCTTGATTTAATTTTTAATTTAGTTTTTACAATTTTTATCCGACAATCAATATATCAACAAAAATCATGTTTCTTTTAAATATAAATTTTATAAAAATAAAATAAAATAAACCATAATCATAGATTTTTCACATAATAAAAATTTGACTTCCAAATTTAGCATTTTTCTTGTAACTTATTGACACATTTCAAAACAAAGTAATCGGTTATGATTTTAAAAACTATTTAGATGCAGATTTACAAACTTTTCTACATTTTTCAAAATAAACCATCCGGAAACACATCTTCCATTTTCTTGTTATTTTAAAAAAAATGACTATTAAATTATTTATTCATATTATTATATTTTTTTATTCTAAAAAATGACAACAAGGAAAAAAAAAACCATATTTCTTTTCGATATACAATTTATAAAAAAAACATAAGCATCAATTATTTACATAATAAAAATTTAGTTTTCGATTTCAAATATTCTTCCAAATCAGTCATAACACATTACTTTGATGACAATGAATTTATAAACAAGTGGACATTAACCGTTATCTTATGATTGTTTCTATAGTTTTTTCCCATTTTCTATTAAAACTCTTATCCTATAATATTGTATTTTACATATTTCAATATTTTTTTATGGCACTAACTTGCTATACATTCTTAATATAACAAGATCTAACCCTTTTATTAAACAAAAAAACAATGAATCAAATTTCTATGACAAAAAAAAAAAAAAATCGAAAAACAACAACAATAATTGATCTTTGAAAAATAACATCAGCTCAAATCATTTTATAAACAAAATTCATATACATCTATATACCAAAAGCGTACGTTATAAATAAAAAACAAAAAATAATATCAATTATATAAAAAAAAAAAAAATTCCTTGACTTAAAAAAAATTGCTTTCAAAGCAACATAAATTTCCAACTGCTTCTATCGTTAAACAACAATCCACCTGCAGTCCATCATCAAATAGCAATCCACTCGTAACGAAGCGTTGCGTTGGTCTCCACCTAGTAACTTCTATGTCCCATTAACTACTACAAGTAGTTTTATTGTCCCAATACTATATTTTGGGTTCGAGGATGCCATGAATGTCCAAAATAATAAAAACAACATCAATAAAAATAATGTAAATTAATATTATAAATGTCTCTAAAAAGAAATAGGAGTTTTTTTATTAAAAAAATTAGGTTTTAAGTCTTGTTGGTTTAATAGATTAAAACGAATAATAATGATGCAAGAATAGAAGTAGGTGTGTGTCTCTAGTAATGTTGAAATAAAAACAAGAAAATCTGTGTCTATTTGTGTAGATAACGTCGCTATGGGTGTTATTCTTCCAAGGAATTTTGCAATCTCCTCCTCAATAACCAGAGAGATTCATTACAGCAACAACACAACAAAAGCATTATCCTCGGCTCTCTTTTTGTGCTTCTCAACAAGTCCCAGACTGTCAAAAAGCCAATCCCTTTTTGCTCACCAAAAGTTATAACTTCCTTCGCGCTTCAGAGGCTGCTTTCAAATGGGTATGGCTTAGATTTTTTGGATATCTTGTCTTTTGATTAAGTGGGTTTTTTGGATTCTGTTGTCGCTTTGATTGATGGGTATGGAAGTAAGTGAGTACATTTTAGATTAATAATCTATAAATGGGTTGTGATGATCAGTTTTTGCTTACATAAATTTGTTATGTAGATTGGGAATAGTGTGGGTGGATTCTGTTCGTTTGTTATTCTTTATAGCAGTTTATTCTTGCTACAGAGGTATTGAGGGTTTTCATTAGTCAGTTGTGCATTTTGTTTGTTGGTTTCAGATCATTGAGCAAGTGTTGGCAATTGTCACAAAGAGAAACAATTCCGTTGTGCTGTTCTGTTTGTGTCTCCCTTCTGTGGAAGCGGCATTCATTTTCAAACTCATTATTAGCTTGAACAAGTCGACACTTTTGAATGCTTGGAATTAGGAAGGCTTTTTTTTTTTTTTTTACTTCGAATTAACAGTAGTCGTTGCCTTCAGGATTTTAATGGTGAAAATTGAAACAAAGAGGAGGCCATGGAATTAGGGTGGTAGTACTCTTTTTTCGCTTTTTATTTTTTCCTTCTGGAAGGTAGAGAACGGATGGACTTATGGGTTGTTGGAGCCGCAGCTGCTGCTGGATATATAGCTAAATATTGGCAAAATCTTTCAAGAGATAGGGCTAGTTCATTGGAGTTGTCTTCTGGGACCTCCACTTGCGAGAAACCTGAAACTGCAAATTGTCCCTTTCATGAATTGACTAGGGGAAAGAAACAAGCTGAAGACTCTTTTACAAATGGAAGACACTTTTCAGATGGAGGATTCTCAGATACGTACCGGTTGGATAGTGCTTCAGACACAGAAGCAGCTTCTACTCGTGGTTATGGTGAAAGGCTTGCAAGATTGGGAACGTATGATGATTGCAATGTGCTCTCTATGTCAAGCTTACTGCCTGGATTCTCGGTAAATGAAAATTTAAAAGAAACTGAGGGTGGAAATGGACCGAGTGATGATATGGGTGATAAGTCTGGTAACCTTTGTACAGGTGAAATGGATTCTTTTCATGTTTCGGGCAAGAAAACAAGCTCTCTTAGAACTAAACGTTCATACAGCCATGTTGTTAAACCTTTAAGCTCCCTAGATAGCTGTCTCATGGCTCAGTTATACAAGGAACATGCTAGAATGGAAGAATATGTGCTTAGTGCTCTCCCATTGCCATCTACTATTCTGAGGCCATTACTGATAACTGATGGAAGGCAAATAATTAGCAGAGCAGATGGGGATTCTATATTTGCACAAATCAGAAATGGCAATAATAGGAGGCACAGGGAGGAAATTGTTCGTGGAGTTCCTCCACTACCAAAAATTGGGACTTCAGATCTCCCAAAGAAGATAAAATCTAAGACAGAAAAGGGGCGCAATGAAAGATCGAGCAGTTCCCATAATACAAGCAATGGAAAGCACCTACAGTCACCAAATGGTATTCTTCTCGTGTTGAACACTTGTTTATCTTGTGAAACAATGCTAGTTTGATGAAAAATGTTTAAGCCATTTATTGTTCTTGCTTATTAATGTTGTCATTTCCAAAATTTGATTTCCAAGAACGACCTTTTTTTTCCATTAAGAAGCAATGTATGAGCCTCTTCTGCTACTCCAAAGTTTGTGCACCATCTTTGTATACTTAAATTTCAGTTTCTTGCTGTGAGATTTCTTGAAGTGATGGAAATCTGTCCGTACCAAGACCTCCTGAAATGTTGCCCGTTTTGATTTACACCCCTAAAGATTTTTATTATTATTATTATTATTATAATGGTTGGAATATTGCTCATTTGAATTTACACCCTTTTTGTTAGGTTCCGTTAATAAAATGTTAAAAAGCATGTGGACGAAAAAAATGAAAAAAGAAAAGTTAATAAAGAAAATAAAACATTAGGCAATATTAAAAGCAAAAGGTATGAAGAAATAATTGGAATAAAAACCGTAAAGAGGAGTAATAGAAGAGGAGAAGTGATTTTGGATTGAAGGTTGATGATTCTTGAACTTTTAAGGTGATTGTTCTCTATTTTTGCAACAAAAAGCTTTTTAATGACTTGCATTTGATTTGATTCCTTCTTTTATTGTTGGGTTGTTGGATTCTATGTGGAGTAGCATTTATAGTTGGAATTGATAATTGTAATGCTGTTAGAGAAATTGTTGGAGGAATGATACATTTTTCTGCAATTTCATGAATTTGAAGCATGTAACCGATAAGAAGAGGAAATTGGAATTACTTACAATTTCAAGAGAGTTGGTTCTTCTCTGCTCTTCTGTACCCCTCTTTGGCGTGTAAGTCAAAACAGAATATATTTTAGGAGGTCTTTGTACGGACTTACTGAAATCTGGGGGGTACTTATTTTTAGAAAGACTACTTGTTGTTTCTTTCCATCACTACGGAAGTTGCACATGCCACATGCTTCATTTAAGTTGCCACCACTAAGCCTAAGAGATCTGTGGTGGAAGAGGAAATAAAAATTAAAATGTTACATTAATCAGTTGAAGCAATGATAGTTGCAAAAATTTCCAAATAATCATTTCCCCCTTTTCCGTCATTAGGCCAAGGTGGCATTTCAAATTTCAGCAGCACCAGTCTTTTCACCTTGGGGTTTTAACACACAGTGCATAACTCATAAACATAGAGAGTTTTTATTTTATGCAAAAATTGCATGTTGACTCATGTGGTGTAGGATTCAGTTACTTTTAGGTGTTTGATTTATGCCAAATTGTTTCAGATGAATCGGTTTCCTTCTTTTATCAGCACCTGTAGCTCGTTAATTCATAAAGGTCTCTTATTATAGATATATATTGCCACTAGTGTTTACTGTTTAGAAATATCTGGCAAGACCCTGTGTGCTAGTTTGTGGACATTCTTTGGTTTAGACAGTTCAGCTGGCATTCTGAAGATCTTGTTTTGATGTAGGACAGACTTGGGATTTGTGTCCTACGAAGGTTTCATGGTGAGCTAGGGTTTATTATTTGCAGATTAGGGTAGAATAGAAGAAATAAGGAGAAATTAGGCTGTGAACATAACTCGTAGCACTGTCACAGAAGAATATGAAAACAAGAAAGAAGAGAAAATAGAAGAACAAGAGAAAGGAGAAGAAACCTTAGGCACCAAGCTTTCAAAATTTCTCAAAACTCAATTTTATTTAATAATTCAACTCTGCAGAAAATAAAACATAGCATATCTATTTATAGAGACTAGGACTTAAAAGACTAGGATTTCTAATCCTTACTTGACTAGGAAAGAAACTAAACAAGAATAAACCATGAAAGACCCAGACACCAAATTCCTAAATAAGAACCTTCAAGTAATTCTGGACATTACTAAAACACCCCTGATTCACAAGAATATGCAAAATTACAATTCCGCTTCCTGCTTACTGAAATTCAAACCCATAAAGTAAGAAGCTTATTATCTATTCTCAGACTAGAAAATCTCTTTGTTGATGAAGAATCGCATAACTTGGTTTTAAATTTCCATAGGAGATAAATCTTCTTTAACCATAACTTAAGTGTTTCTCATGTTTCTAATAACTCTTTACTCATTTCTTAAAAAATATGTTATTTGCTATTCGCTGCCTAATTCATATCCTGATGCTTTTTATTCACGTCAGGTTTTCATGATGGAATGGTTTTATTCTGTCTGGGGGTTTCTATTGGTATAATCTCATCTCTCATAGCTAATGGAAGAGAAGTAGACCAGCTAAAAGAGGTGTTGAAACAGACTGAGAACTTGGTTCAAGATCTACAAGAGGAACTTGATATGAAGGATTCATTAACAGTGAAGGAGCTGGCAAATGAGAACATTGAATCACAAGATACCTGCGATAACTCCTTTCACTACAGGGCATTGAATCCGCATCTCCTCATGCAGAATGTGAATGATTCAATGAACAACATTGGTATAGAATCGTACAATGAGAACGCAGAGCAGAGTTCAGAGTCTAGGAGTAAAATCGAAGCAGAGCTTGAAGCCGAGCTTGAGAGGTTGGGGCTAAACATGAATCCATCTGCTCCACAGATAAGGTTGTCTGATCTTGTTGAGGTAAGTTATTTAGCATTCTTGAGAGCTTGAAAATTTAGACTCACTCTTAGTGGTTTTTTTCATTGCATGAGATTATGTATTTTTGCTGCATTCATGCTTATTTGGCTCATCGTTTGTTTGTTGATAGTTTTTCCATGTTCAAATATTGTGGAGAGTTTTATGTAATTTACTAAGAAAATAACTGGCAAATGTGTTTTAGAACTTAACGACTATTATTTGATTCTGTATAATTTCTTTAACTAGAAGGTAACGCAGAAGCCAATTTAACATCATTCAATTGGTCTTATATGTATTATTTGGAAATTAATCATATACTTATCTGTTGTCTTCTTATTCTTTTATTAACTCTGCTTTTTCAGAGTGAGAACATATTAGAGTTTCTTAGAATGAAATTTTTTTACCATTTTATCTAGAAAGGCTATTTCAAATGTCCAATTATATATATATATATATATATATATATATATATATTTTTTTTTTTTTTTTTTTTTTTTTTTTTTTCAGTGGATGAGGTTTATTCTAGTGTGTTGGGGTAAAAAGGGGCAAACATTTTCAGAGTCATGTATGTGGACTATATTGACAAGGATCCGCATTATAGCTTTTCCTCTCACCATTCATCATCCCAGTTAATTCTGTTTCTCAGAAAATTAGGCCTAGTTTACCTATGCTGAGGATATTATAATCAAATAAATATTTAGGGTATCTAACTTCTTGTCAGCATTTGTTTGGTTTAGAGATCTCTTGGTTATTGTTCCTTTATTGCAATAATCCATGCATCGTTGCTGTGTTTGACTGAAAATCTTTAGCAGCTTAGAAACAATTATAAAGGAATATTTTTTTACTGCCTCACTCAGGTGTCATGTCTATTTCTGTAGTGCATGATTTTGTTCTTTTGTTTCATCTAATAGAAGCACCCTGCTGTAATTCTGATTTGTTTCCTTTCTGGTAAATTACTCTTTTATTAAATAAATAGATAGATAGATCTACTAGAAATATCTTGAATAGTTCTGGGTTTAAATTTGCACAACAATAAGGTCACATAGACAGAAGTGGGAAAGGAAGCTCAACCGTTGTCTGGTATGTTGAAATATAATGGCCAACATACTTTCTGTCATTAAAGCAGAAAACTGTCGTAGTTATCAATTTCAATTTGACTATCCTATTTGTCATCTACAACTTTTGTATTTCAGTTTGTCACATAATATTCTTTCTGCACGACACCATAAATCTTTTTCAAAATCTTTGGATCTCACTACAAAGCTCAGCAAATGTCATCTTTGTTGGGGAAGTCGTGCTAGCTACCAAGTCTTTGACAATTATGTAAGCAATTTCAGTTTAATTATGGGCAAAAACTCACTATGTGCCCTTATACTTTGAATTCTTAGTCATATCGAACTATCTACTCCATTTTGGGTCATTCCAATCCTTCTACTTAAACTCTTGGGAATTTTTAACCCTTTCATCCACCTCCATCATGGAAATATGTTAGTTCGACTAACACCATCAGTTGACCCATCCTTGACCAATCAGATGCGAGCACATGGACTAGCTAAAAATCATTGATTACCCCTCTACTAAATAAATTTGATCAGATTAACCCCTTCTGCAACAAATTGGACTTAACTATTACTGGGTTAGGTTAACCCTTATACAACAATTTTTATTAGTTAAGCCCAATTTATTGTAGAAGAGTTAATTTGACTAAATTCTTATAATAGAGGGGTATCTAGTGATTTTTAGCCAGGCTACATATTTGCATTTGATTGGTCTAGGGATTGGGGAATGGTCAACTGACGACGCTAGTCGAACTAACAAACTTCCATGATGGAGATAAATGGGAGGTTTAAGTCCAAAAAGTTTTAAGTACAAGGGTTGGCATGACTCAAAATAAAGGAGAGGGTTCAATATGACTAAAAGTTGAAAGTGTAGAGGTATGCGGTGATATATTGCCTTTAATTATGGTTTCTTCTGAAGTGGCAAAGTTAAACCATATTCAAGATTGTGCAGAGCTTTATGATGGGGTGCGTTAGCAGCAGCCTTCAAAAGCCTTTAGAAGGCTATCTAAGAATGATTCCAATGCTCAAGCATAGATTTGACACAAGGCTAATGATGGTAAACTTAAACTTGAGTAGTCCATAAGGGTATTTTAGTAATTTTCATGTGTTGCTGGAAAATCTGGAAATTATAGTGTAGACCTTATTTCTAACATTTTGTTTAATTAGTCCGAAATTTTTTTTTAAACTCTAATAGGAATAGTTATGTTGGAGGTATAGGAATTCATGGCCTTTTAGAATTTGACTACTAAAACTCTATAAATATGCATGTACTCTTTCAATATTTTCAATGCAATAATATGAAATAATTTCTAGCAATTTGCTTTTGATTTTGTTACTCGATTTCCCTTAGGTGTGACTCCTAAGAATCCTAGGTCTGAAGCTTAGGGTTTTCCTTACCCTAGGTGTGACTCCTAGAAATCTTTCTTATGTCCTTTCTTTGTTTTTCGCTTTTGTGTGTGTGTGTGTGTGTTTTTTTTTTTTTTAACTTGCTTTGTTTCGGACCGGTAGTATATGAGCTTTTAATGCAATAGATGTGGCTCATTTTCCTAATTATGGTTACTCTTGTACTTATAGTGTCCAACCACATTTTAGCATAGAAGTTAATGGCTGTGACCATCATGGATATTGGTGATTTAAAACATGTCAACATTTCATAACTGTGGCCATGTTTTAAATTCATGATTGCTTGCAGGGGCAACATTTTTGAAAGCCAAGTCAGCACGATGTAGGAAAGGATGAAAAAAATAAATAAATAAAATCATCTCAATGCCATTGGAAGAACCTGTTCTCTTTTTTGTTTATTGAATAGTTTTTCATGATTATCCCTTGAAGGACATAGCTTCACCGTACTATGTATTTTACCAGTGCTAATAGAGTTCAAAATCATCCAGGTTGACCAAGATTCTACAGCAGATTTTGCTCAAGGAGAATTGAGGCTTGACATGGTCAATGGGCAAGCTGCTGCTCAATCCGAGTCAAATCAAGATGCAAGTGGCACCTCCCCTGCTTTCTCTGGTAATTATATAGTTTCACCACGAGAACTGAGCTTGCGTCTCTATGAGGTTATTCAGTCAACACTCGAAGAGCGTGTGAAGGAGCTTGAGACAGCCCTTCAAAAGAGCCAGAGGGAGGTGGAACTCATGGAATCGGAACATAAGAATGTTCAAAGGTTGTTGTCTACCACTGAGCTAAGATACTCATCTGGGGAAGAAAGTCCAGTTGCTGAAGGAGATTTCAGTTGCATGGATCAGCCTCACGTAATGAATTTATCAGGGGAAGCTCTGGATGCCTACAACGAGGCATATGAAGAGCTAAACAAGATGAATGAATCTGAGGAAGAAGATTCACCATCAGAGGTCTTTGAAAACGATCATCAAGTGGGCTTACATCTGTTAGATCAGAGTATGTTATGGGGTCAAAACGGCAGGGAAAACGGTTCTTTTCCATGTTCTTCCCAAAATAAAGAAAAGACATCAAACGAACTACACAGGAGTCCATTAAAGACGTCGGCAGATTATGGCTCAAGAATCGAGGAATTGCTTTATGTTGGGGTAACAGAAGATGAAAACAGTGATTGTGATGATGATATGGAGAAGCAGTTGATAAAGCAAATTGTGGAGAAGACCAAGAAAGGGTCTCCTGTAGTGCTAAATGCACAAAGGGTGTTTTCAGTGGACGACAATGAACATTAACATATACACAATTAATAGAAAGTTTTGCAGTATATATATCTACAGAATGATTTATATTGGATATCGCAGCATGCTTTTCTCCCATTTGTTCTACTTCAAAAAGCCCTCACCTCGCTCAAGAAACCAACAAATTAAGCACAAACCGCACTGGAACATGTTTGCATATGCGTGTGCTGTATAAATACTATTGAGTGACATGTTAACGAACATAGGCAAGATTTACCAAGTTTCTAGACTCCTTGAAAGTGAAAGGCGTTTCCTTCTCTTGTTATTTGTTTAAGATCACAGTATCGGGCTCCCATGATTTTCACAATTTTTTTGTTCGACTTCTTCCCTTCCAAGTTCCAGCCCTGATTGATAACTATGACAGCCAGACACATTGAAATAGAAGAATCTCAGTAGTTAGTGTCAAAACTATTCAAACATCCGGGTACATTGTAGTATCGTATTGTCAAAGCTAATGACTTCAAAGTTAAGAGCGATAAGCTATTGATTACGTTAGTCCTGCAAATTTTTCAACCTGGGTTTCTCTTCCACCATGGGACAGGAGCGAGGAGGAAGACAGGGAACCATGGGACTTCCTGAACTCGTATCTCCTCAATTGGCACTCACTCTTTCATTGGTTTCATCTATTTCACTATTTGATGGATGTATACAAATAGGGATATTATTTAACAGCTAAAGGTAAATAAAATAAAAATACCAGACACACGATGCTTTGTTTTGTTGCTTCCAAAATTCAAAAACTGGTAATAATAATACATACACTAATTTGTTCAAAATCCATAAAATCAATTAGTTATAACTTTGACACAACTTTTTCTTAAACCACACAACCTACCAAGAGATCTTATTTTCAACAAAAAGTAACAGGATTGTCCATCAAAACAATATAGTCCATGAGGTGAAATAAAGAAAATAGTAATTCAACGAAAAAACCTATAACTAAAGCTTGTGCTGAGTGGTTTAGTCCAAAATATTGGCAATTGGAAGCGTTTATTTGAGTAATATTTTCCGATGTGTCTAATGTTTCTCGCCGAAATAAACGTTTTATATAAAGCAAATTTTAAGTAATAATATAAAAAATATATAATGATCGCGAAATGATGAATGGGTTGCGAGGATGCATGTTAAGGGTTATTGTAGTGGCAGCGGTGGGAGGGAAGATTATGGTTGTGGTGGCGATATCGAAGAGAAGGAGGTGGTGTAGTGCAGTTGGCTGCGGTAGAGTGATGGGATGGCAGGGGCAATGGTGGGGTAGTGGTGATGGTGGCAGCCAAGCTGGTGGTTTTGGACCTGTGGTAGTGCAGTGATGGGGCTGTGATAGCAGCAGCAGTAGTGAAGATGGTGATGCAACAGTGATTGATCTACATTGATGATATCGTGGATTGGTTATTCTTAAAATTTTGCATGACCTACATATATTTTTAACAAATGAACTAAATTTATAGAATACCCGTTGATCGATCAATTTTCCGAAAAAATAATTTTAAAAAAAAAACCACAAACTCACTATAAAATATTTTACGCAAATCAAAAGTCATGCTATTTGTGCATGGATCCTAAAACACGAGAACCTTTTTCAACCAAAACATACGTTAATATTTTTTATCCATTCCTCTGAAAAACCAGTAGCAAGCAGAACCAACTTGAAGTCGGACATAGTTTCACTCACCACTCCCTAATATTGCTTCTGAAGTTATCAAATAATGAACAGCCAGAGAGAGAGAGAGAGAGAGAGGGAGACTGAAATTATTTTCTAATCAACTCTGTTTCTCATAAAGAGAACACTTAAAAAGTGCTGCTCTTCACAGAACCAAATCCAACAGAAGTGACATGACAAAGTTCAAAGGGCAGGGGTGAGAACGCAAACAAAACAATTTACTTTAATAAGCAAGTTCAACAGCTTCCTATAGAAAAAACAGCATTCTGTCATGCTCTTTTGGCAAAATCATCAGTAGCATCATCGTCGTCCTTGTAGTTTGAAGACAAGGCATCATCTTGGTTAAAACCACCACTACTACTCTCATTGGCAACAAACTGATTGCTGCCACCAAAACCCATTCCAGCATTTCCACCATCCACACTGGTGCTAGCATAGTTATCGCTACTGCCGCCACCACCACCAGCAACACCATAATTCCCAGCACCACCATCATAAGTGTTTTGACCAGCATAATTATCATTACCACCATCATTAGCGCCATATCCACCACCAGTACCATACCCACTACCCGTACCATATCCACCACCAGTGCCATATCCACCACCAGTACCATATCCACCACCACCATAGTCTGCCACCACCATAGTTGCCATAATTATTGTTAAAGGTGCGCTGAGGCCTTTCAGTTGCATAATTCACCCTAACGCGCCGACCATGAAGATCCTGTGAGAAGAAAAATTCAAAACAAGTTGGCATAAACACAAAAGACAAGGGATGAAAAAGGGAGGTGATACAAGAGAAGAATGCAATATACTATCAACTAAGTTAAACGACGAGGTGGGAGGCATTGAGAATGTGATGATCAAAGAAAAACGCAATTTGCGCTATTCCCTTTCCTTGTCCCCATTTCTCTCAATTGAATATGAGAGAAATAGGAAATGTTAATATAATTATGCACTTCTCTTGTCTCCCCTTCCAGCCATAGGCAAAAGACAACCATAAAGTAGCAAATTACCTGTCCATCCATGGCCTGGATGGCACTAGAGGCCTCCTCACTAGAGCTGTAAGTAATGAATCCAAATCCTCTGGATCTGCCAGTTTCACGATCCATAATGATTCTTGCTGAAAAAAATATAAGACAAATCAGCATTTAACCCAAATTGAAATTTGAAATGCCAGCACTCATGTGATGTAAGAAACCAAGGGAATAAGCACACTAGTACCAACTTCACACACACATGTATGCATACCCACAGGCAGACACCACATAAATTGCAACAGTCTTTCCTCTAAAACTGGGAAAAGTAATTTGGCTAATGCAACTACATACCTTCAACAACATTGCCATATTTATCAAAGGCCTCTTTCAGACTGTCATCATCTGTACTGTAAGAAATACCTGCAATGATATTTGATAGGTATCAACACCAGCCATAAAATAGCAGGATGCTGTAACAACAAGAAGTGAAAAAAAAAAACAATAATAAAATTAAAGATGCACCTCCAATGAAAAGTTTGGAAGATGACATGCATCTTATAGCTTGATAGATGGATGGCCTAGATGCAGAAATTTCAGAAGTGATCTGCCTGTTGGCTGTCTGCCGCAGCATATTCCCCACTTTAGTAAGAAAAGCCATTGTAGCAACCTAAGTACAACAAGCCTCGGTCAATACCTAAACTAAACTAAACTAACCCTGTAAAATAATGAGAACAGCGGAACAACAACATCTCACTCTTTGAACTTGAAAGAACTCCCCAAAAAGTAGACAAGTAAGAAAAAAACCATCAATCAATCATAACCACCTATAAAATGCTTTCCTCAGAAAAAAGTGACAAAGCAACATCGACAAACAAGCAGAGATTAAAGTAAATAAAAAAGAAAAAGACCATTTCGAACTTCATTCGAACTCCTTCCAAAAAAAAAGATTAGCGATAAAATATTTGCTTTAGAAGTACTTATGTTAGACCATAGAAACCTAGGAGCATGTCCTGTCCCAACAACACTAATATGTAAAACATCTATACATCTAAACATAAGACCCTGTCTAAAACAACCGAACAAATAATTTCAGTCTCAGTCAGTCTCTCTTTTAATCCTGATTAAGACCCATTAAAATATCTCGTTCGGGTCCAATCCATCCAAACATGAATAAGTTAAAATCTTTTCTTCATTTTCGCCACCCAAAAACGCTAACAAAAATCGAAAGACAAAGTTAAGATATCTACACTCTTAATCAATCAGAATCAAAGGCGATCTATGAAGAAATCAAAGAAAGAAAACAAAAAAGATGATCTAAGAGCCTAGGGTTTACCTCTTTATGTTTTGCTTCACTCCCTCTTTTGATTTTTGAAGAAAGCGACTAAAACCCTATATTGGAAAGAGGGGTTTATGTAGGTGAAATGAAGGAGGGTTATATCAAGCGAGAAAAGTGATCTTGACCGTCGGATTAGAAGCGTGACGGTGCGGCTCCGGGTCTGTAGAGCTTAACGGTTTCCACGTGTTCCTCTACGAGTGGGTTGTATTTTCTTTCCTGTGACAGCCTTGTTAGCTTTGACTGAAGATTTCTAATTTTCAGGATCGGGAATGGAAATATCTACATTATGTTAATAGACTATACTGCCCCTTATAATAAAATGGGTGCCTTCTGGAATTGGATAATTAAAAGGCCTCCCAGCTTTTGGAGTTAATATTACCAAAAATGACCGAGCTATTATAAAATAAATAACAACAGTATAAATAACAACAATAGGAGAATTAAAATATATTAAGAAAAAATAAATTTATTATTAAATAAAGCAAATACAAAAGGTAACAACTCCAAATAATTCTTTCAAATCTCTATAGAATACTTATGTGCAAACTAATAAAATAGGCTTGAAAATTAGTAAGGAAAAAGACTATGAATAATTAAAAATGCATAAATTATTGAATCAATTATATCGCCGTTTCAATTTCTCTATAAAATACTTATGCACAAACTAACGAACGATCGGACCTATTTATAAGCTTCAAAATTAGCAAGAGAATTAAAAGAAACTATAAATAATTAAAAAGTAAATAAATTATTGAATCAATTGCATCACTCTTTCAATTTCTCATATTTAATAATGAATTGAATCACATTAAGAATTATGAGTAGTGGAGTCATGAAAAACATATAAATATTCATATTGACATTCATTATTTCATAACATTTCCCATTCAATGTCCATTGTACAAGAAATATACCAAACTAAAACCTTACTAAGAAAAAACCGATGGGAAAAACATCTTAGTGAAGAAAAAAATTACAATATTCCTTGCACACATTAATCTCCATATTGGCCTCCCATGTTAAAAACATTATTTAAGATCTCTAAGACAATGCATTCTAATTTTGTGAATCATCTTCTCAAAAGTTGTGGTAGGTAATGCCTTAGTGAACAAATCTACTGAATTGTCACATGATCAAATTTGTTGAACATTAATATTACCATTTCATTAAAGATCATGTATAAAAAATAATTTTGGTGATATTTGTTCCATTTTATCACCTTTAATGTATCGTTCTTTTAATTGAGTTATGCAAAGAGTATTATCTTCATACAATATTGTTGGAACTTCCTTACTAGTGAATAAACCGTATGTCTCTTGCATATGATGGGTCATTGAACTTAACCAAATACATTTTCAACTTGCTTCATAAATTGCTAGTATTTCTACATGGTTTGAAGATGTGACAACTATAGTTTACTTCATAAAACATTATGATATAGCCATATCTCCATAAGTAAATATATAACCGAGTTTGTGATCGAGATTTATGTGGATTAGGCAAATAACTTGCATCTATGTAACCAATTAATTCTATCTTTGATTTATTAGAGTAATATAAGCCTATATATATAACCAGTTTGTGATCGAGATTTATGTGGATCGAACAAATAACTCGCACTATATAACCAACTAATTTTGTCTTTAATTTATTAGAGTAATATAAGCCTATATATATATAACCGGTTTGTGATCGAGATTTATGTGGACCGAACAAATAACTCGCATCTATATAACTAACTAATTACGTCTTTGATTTATTAGAGTAATATAAGCCTATATATATATAACCAGTTTGTGATCGAGATTTATGTGGATCGAACAAATAACTCGCATCTATATAACCAACTAATTTCGTCTTTGATTTATTAGAGTAATATAAGTCTACATCAATTGTTCCTAAGAGATAACGAAGTATGTGTTTAATTTCATTCCAATATCTTCGTATTGGAGGAGAACTATATCTTATTAATAAATTTATCAAAAATGCTATATCGAGTCGGGTATTATTAGTAAGATACATTAATACATCAATTGCACTAAAGTATGATACTTCGGGACCAATAAGATCTTTATTATCTTCTCGAGGTCGAAAAGGATCTTTTTGGACATCGAGTGAACAAACTATCATTAGATTAGTCAATAGATGGGCCTTATTCATATAGAATCATCGTAGTACTTTTTCTTCATGTGTTAACGAGATGAATAAAAATTATATCTTTTAAGTGTT